CAAATGTCATTCCTGTGACAACTTCTACAGCTACAAACATGTACTGTTGCTTTCGGGAAGTCCGAGGGAGGGGGCCTATGAAATCACATTGCCATACCTGCCACGCTACTTTTCCTTCGCGTAATGACAACGGGACAGGGTTTTAGTTGCATTTTTACCTCACAGCAAGTGATGCATGCACCGACTATTTCTTGTACTTCTTTCTTAGTTACATGAATGCCCCAAGATGCGGCCAGGCGGGTGGCTCCATCACGCCCAGGGTGCCCATGTTGTCAATGTAGCCATTCTGCAGCTCGTTCCCCAGGTGTACAGTGGGAGGAGGAATTGGGTAACAATGGGCCAGCCACTTTATTTTTTTCTTCAACATAAAAGGTTTCCGCGCTCTCCTCTCTTGTTAGCTGATCAACTTGCCTATTCCACTTTGCCTTCGGGCCTTCCCCTGCTTTATTTCCATGTGCTGCACTCACATGTCAGATGTGCAGAGGAAGGTTATCTTGGGCTAACTCCCATAAGGCTTTCCACTCTTCGTGGCTCCAAATGTCTTGTCCTCACCTTTTAAAGTTCTTTTTATGCCACAGGTGTAGCCATTTAGTACATCTTTTTACTACCATCCAGAAGTCACTATAAATATAGATGGGCCTTTTAGGACATGGACCTTCTGTTAATTCCCACACAGCTACACTGAGCACTGCTTGGAGCTCAGCATACTGCGCATTTTTTCTGAGGCCTGGTGATACTACTTGCTTGCCATCTTGAATCCTCAAGGCGGCTGCTCTCCAGGCATGACCTCAAGCAGACCCATGTGTGAACCAGACTTCAACATCAGCTGAGGTCTCCATTTCAGGCAAGAAAGGAGGTGCTTCTTTGATGGATGAAGGTTCACTGCAGCTAGTTTGATCAGAATAAACATTACTTGTACTTTCTGTGACTCTTTCGACTAATACAGGGCGTCCCTTTGGGGTTACTCATTGGACTTGGCTCAGAATGTAATAAATCGACCTTTGGACCATGGTGTCTTGGGCTCTACCCCCAGGTGGTAGCTGGCGGTTTGACAGAGCCATTCCGAGAATCGGTATCGGAGAAGTGATAACTGTGGGCAATTCTCTTCTCAGTGCTTCTGTGGCTTCCAGGGCTGCTGCTGCTGCACACAACATTTGTTCTAATAGAGTGTACCTGGCTTCCACCACTCTCCAGCCTCGGCTCCAGAATCCAAGGGGTTTTCCTTCTGCTTCTGAGGACTTCTTCTGCCACAGGCTCCAGTGTGGTCCTCCTGCCAAGACGCCTATATGGAGCCAAAGCTCTCCTTCTGGACATCGTGCTGCTAGGGAGGCATGAACAGCTATTGCTTCTTTAAGGGCTTGTAAAGCATATTTATGCTCAGGACCCCATTCGCATTTGGTTCTCTTCTTACATAGGTTATACAGGGGACAAGCTAATACACTAAACTCAGGAGCATGCATGCGCCAAAAATTGAGTGCTCCCAATTGGGCTTGCAGTTCTTTCACATTAGTGGGAGTTGGGGTCTCCACTATATTTTGCAGCTCCTCTTTTGGTATTGTGGGCCCTCCATTTTGCCATTCTATTCCTAGAAATTCACACTGGGGCCCTACCTTTTGAATTTTTTGTTTAGACAATGTGAATCCAAAGGTAAGCACTTTTTCTTGTAATGATTCAAAGGCCTTGGTGGCAGCCTCTTTGTCTTGACTGCCTACCATGACGTCATCTATATACTGCCATATGCATACGTTGGGGTACTTTTCTTGAACTTCATGAACTATTGTAGCTAAAACCCCATGAGCCAGGGTGGGACTGTGTATCCACCCTTGGGGCAACACGGCGTAGGTATACTGCTGCACCATCCACGTGAAAACAAATACTGGCCAGTGGCTCTCCTGGATGGGAATAGCAAAGAAACATGTCTTTGATATCAACGGATCCCATCCACGCAGGTCCATAACACCGGATGCTTTCTGTCAAGGCTGAAAGCTGATGGGACAGCAGCTGTTAAGGGGTCAGTATTAGCATTCAAAGCTCTAAAGTCAATAGTCAGCCGCCACCCTCCATTTGGCTTGTGCACTGGCCATACTGGATTGTTATATGGAGAGTGGGTTCAGATAATAGTTCTGTCTTCCAACTGTTGACTTATGATACACTGGATAGGTTGTGTGGCCTTGGGGGGAGTTCGATACTGGGGTCTGTGTACTCCTTTCAAGGGATGCAGGGTTAGTGGGATCATGCTACATCAAGTTACAGCTGTTATAGATGTTTCTTCTATTTCTTGGTGAGGCACTGCACACCCAAACTGCCAATTCTCTTGTTCAAAGGCAAACCATTGTCCTCTTAGTACATTAAGTCCCAGCAAACTTGGTCCCCCTTTAAGTATTACTGGTGCCGCTGTTACCTTAGAGCCATTAGGTAACGCGACGGTTGCTTGGACCAGATGTCCTGGTCGTCTGGTGCCTCTGACTCCAATTACTTGATAAGGGGTTCCTTTCTCCCCTTTCCAATCTGCAGAATCTAAAATGCAAATCTGGGCACCAGTGTCTAATAGCATATCAATTAACTTTTTACTTTTACCTAATTGAATCTGTACAGGTATCTGAATTAAGGGGCCAATATTAACTTTAGATACCGGTCCCTGACTGGCTACTGCCCCCATTGTGGCCCCTCTCTTTGGGGTTTGGGCCAGCCGGACTCCCTAGGCCATGTGATCAGGTGGGGTAGAGGCTGGCGGTCCCACAGGTGCCTGGGACAATGTCGACAGTCCTGCCCTCAGGGCAGAAAATCCCTTCAGTGACCCTGCTGGTGGCACTGATGGTTCTGCTTTTGGACTTGCTTTTTTGCTGGAGTGTTTAGCCCACAGCCCTTGCAAAACATTGGTGGGCACTCCATCAATTGGCACTTTATTAAAACTGGCAGCTAACAAGTCCTTCCACAATTTTGCTCGCTGAGTCTTGGGCCAGCCTTCTCCAGATTTTTCCAACAATTCAGGAGGATCGGGGGTTTGTCTTTCGCTGAGGCCACCGCCATGGCCTTGGCAGTTTTTGTAAGCTTAGCCATCCCTGGCTTCTGCAAAATGGGTAGAAGCTGCACTAATCACCAAATCACATTTCTTACTGGGTGATCTACACCTCTGGCTCCAAGGCCAACAAGGCCGAGGTACACTGCTGGTGCTCGTCAGCAAAACTTCCTCCACAACGGTGCTGTCATGACTTCTGCATCTGGTGTGCGAGTCCAAACTGCTGTATGAATTACCTCAGTTAGCGCCAATTGATACAAGCAACGAACATCCTCCTCCAAATTGACCCATGCTCGAGGAGCAGGACTAAGCTCTTCTTCCATATTACCATAACTGGCTGCAGTGGCTTGGAGCGAAGCAGAAGACAAAGTAACATTTTCATCACCTTCTGCAAACTGATTTAACTGGAGCTTTGGGTGCAGAATGATTTGGGCTGCTTCGGCTCTACTCGCTGAAATTGCAGAAGCTCCTTCACTATACATTTGAACTAGCCAGTCTATCACTGGTTCTCCTGGCTTGGACTTATGCTGTTCTTTTATATCTCTTATTTCCGCTCAGGTAAATTAACGTAGCTCTGTCCGGGGATTCCCTCCTTGAGGCCCTGAACGGGTTACTAGCACGGGGAAGACCTGGCTATGTTCCTCCCTCTGGGCAGGGACATAAGGCGGCAGTTCAACACCAGGCTCGTCATCAGTCTCCTCCTCTCCATATTCCCAGAGCTCAACTTCTGGTCTCTGCCCATAAAGACACTATCTGATCTTGTGGAAGTGTGGCTCCACAGCCTGTGCTAACTGCGCCCTTTTCTGGAGGGAAGCGGCCACGCGCGCAATCATAATTTTTCCCTCCCTCCTCTCCAAAGTCTCCAAATGGCTCTGAGCGGCCTGCACTGCCTCACATGCCATGCTGTTGGAATCTCTCACATCTTCTAACTCCTTACTCAGCTGGGTGACCTATTCCTGGAGATGGGTAACTTCTTCAGCCCCTAACTGCAGGCATTTGGTCAGCAGCCACGACAGGCACCGCTTCCTAGGTTTACACCAGGCAGCAGCAGCAAACCTAGCCCAATGATCAGGTACAGCTCCTGGGTCACTCCAGGCAGGTCTCAATCTATCCTTATCCCACCCAGGATTCTCTATCCCCATCACCTCCTTAAGCAAAGTCACTAACGGAGCCCATGCAGCTCCCTCCATTCCGACCTTTCTCTCCAGACCAGAGCCTCTCAATCCTGCCAATTTATGTCCCAGCCACCTGTGGAGGGTTTAGATTGAGAGTGCGGTCGAGGGTAGAAAGTCAAGAAAGATTTATTGCCTTAAAAAAAACACAACTATGTGTAGTAACAAGACAAACGATGACAGACAAAAGCAATTCGCGTTGGCAACTTATCAGCAGTTCCTCTGATGCCCGATACACAGCAAGCTTCTCTTTCTACAAAGTTCAGCGAGGTCAGGCGTCCCTGGACAATGCTGTCTGAGGGGTGCCAGGAAGGACCTTGGGCTCCTCGAGGTCCACAGGCCCACAGATCCAGGCAACAGCAAACTAATCCTCTTCACAGAGCTGCATCTTCCTTCTGAATGGTTTCCAAATATTTCAGCTAATTTATAGCGTCTGAAGGACACTGATAACGTATGACCACTTAGACTCCTTTTTCTTCAATTGTCCATAGACTGACCAATAGCAGTACAAGCCTTGCATTCCTTTGATAAGGTAATTTTAACTGCACCACAGGGCCTTACTACTTCTAGGCTTTGCTAAATTTACTAGGCCTTACTTCATACAAGGCCTCACTACATCTTAAACTATAATTAGGCTTTTAGCAACAACTTGTAGCTTAATATCTAAACAAATACAGAAAAACACTTGGTCAAATCTTCATAGAGCCTTCAGCAAGCACTTTTATAACATAGACATACTTTTCAGCTGCCACAGGCTTCCGTTAGGTACTTCCTTCTGTCGAAAAAAGTTCAAAGAGCCAGTTTATCAATGCTATGGAAAAAGACCATTTATTATAATTTTATGTCTTTAAAGTGCAGGTGTGAGGCATTTACTCATGTGATAAAAAAATAAGCTGATATCTTAAGCGTATAAAATCCATATTCAGATTGTTTGAGAGTCAATGTGAAATCACAGAAGAGATAAGGGATGGTCAGCAGAGCAATTGTAGACAACCAGAATATTTCCTGACAAACGCAACTGGGAAAAACACTGTCTACACAAACTGGGTTTCCTTTCGGTCTTCACTGCAGAGATATTTTTCCTTAAGTTTTAAAATGCCAAGTTCTCCACTTCAGTAATTTTTTATTGTGAATCTACAAGATAGATCATTTGCATTTTTTAGAGATCCATGGATATAAAATCTTCTCTATACTGAAAGCTTGGCTCAGAGGTGAGGAGACAAATTTGCCTTGAGTTGACCATTTGGCACAATTTAAAGGTAAATAAATGACAGAAAAATTTGAAATTGGAGAAAAAGCAAAATAAAGTGATGGCTTCTGCTGTCTTCTCTTCATTACCTGAAGAGCTCTAGTAATGTTTCCTGCATAATCCATTAGCAAAGAAAAGGCCAGTTTACTTAGATTTATTTTTCCAAATTAGTAGCATTTGGCACGTACTCAGTTAATTTCAGTCTCAAATGTTGGCAAAAATGTCTTTAACTGTAAGATCTCAGGGAGGGGCTGGCTCCAGTAAAAGTCAAGCCCAGTTAGAAGCTCCACATCTCGGACACGTGCTGCATGAGCCTGAAGTCTTACTTCAACCCACTGGGTCTCTGGTTGATTATCCTGCCGGAAGCAAAAAAGAGCAAAGTTCAAACACTAGTTAATCTCTCATCATAGGTGACTGGTAGGGGGTGCATGGGGGTGCACATGCCCCACCCCCAATGGAGCCAGTGCTGCCCCTGACAGCTGACACCAACGCTGTTGGCAGGGCTGGTGCCCCCCCGACAGAGCCACTACCATTGGTGGCTTCTGCGGGTGCCCCCCCAGATTCAGGAAGCACCAGTCACTCATATCTCTCATAATGTCATCAGACAGCAGAAAAAACAGTATGTTTTAAAGATTTAAAGGCCTTTACTTTGTTTCCAAGCTTTTTCCACCCTTTCTAGGCCTTCCTTGGTTCTTCACCCTCTCTATCCCTTGCTCTACTAAAAAGATACTATTTTTTCCTGTTTTCTGGATTTCATATAATTGTTTATTTTGCCTGAAAATAGGAAGTATAGTATGGAAGTATGCTAGGTCCCATGTATCCTGGAAGCAGGTTGTAACCCACAGAAGTGACAAAAAAGCAAAATACTGCTGATAAATGATATCCTGAACTTTCAGTGACCTTTTAACTCCAAAATACAGTGGAATCATATTTTTAATGCATTTACAATTCAGTATTGTTTTATTTATAGTATAAACTGATCACAACTAAAAAAATACCCCCAAATCCCCAAAGTATAAGAAACAATGGTCCAAAATTCTCACATATTTAGACTATTAGGGTGTGTCCAGATGAGTGCAAATGTTTGTGCTACTGCCCAGGGAACACCCATGCTACATGCACTTTGGGCAGTTTTTCCTGGGTGGGGTGGGGAAAGGGGGCACTCAGGTGGGTGGGAGCTCAGGGAACTGCAGCCATGGCAAGAAGCCTGACCAGCAGCAGGAGCATGGCTCTGGCTAGCCAGGCTCTGGTTTGGGGCTGCATGCACTGCTGCTATATGAGCCACACCTTTTTTTGGCCTGGTTTTTTTTTTTTTGATCCCACGATCTCCCAAGGTAAAAAAACCAAACCCCTGCACTGCAAAGTAGCAGTGTGAAGAATGCCTATATGTGCAGTGCAGGTCCGTGGCACCACATACTGCATGTCTGCACCACACCAGGGGCGATGGGGGTGGAAATGTCTGATAGGGCCTACTCTGTCTCAGCCAGGCAGACCCCAGCTGGGGTCCCAAGGGGCAAGGTGGAGTAGGTGGGAACCCCCTCTCTGCCCGCTTTGCCTACAGGGTCCATGCCAGCCAGCACCTGGCTGCATCCCCACCCCTGCAGCAGCAAGGGGGAAGGACCCTCTCACTGTCTGCTGCACCCAGGCCAGGCAGACCCCAGCTGGAGTCTGTGCCATTGGGACAAGGCAGGGAGGAGGGAATTCCAAGAGAGGTGGTGTAGGCTCCTACCCTGGGGGGTTTTAAGAGGAGGTTAGATGAACACCTTGCTGGAGTCGTTTGACCCCAGTACTCTTTCCTGCCATGGCAGGGGGTCGGACTAGATGATCTGCTCAGGTCCCTGTCGACCCTAGAAACTATGAAACTATGAATTAACCCCCCATCTGTTTGCTTCCTGCTGCTGCTGGGGCTGGCCACGGCCCTGCCACTATAGCAACAAGTGGAGAAATGCCTGGCAAGGGCTGTTGCACCCCTGCCTGGCAGACCCCAACTGGGGTCCATGCTGGTGGGACAGGGGAGGTGGGGAGGGGAATAAGCCTCTTCCTTGTCTTCTTTGCCTTAGGGGGCCCAGCGTCTGGCTGTGCCCCATCTGCCCTTCAGCTAGGGAGCAGAGGAGCAGGACCAGCCCTGCTCTACTGGAACAGAGAGCACAACCTAGGCCAGGGATGCAGAACATGTCAGGATGCTGGGCGACTCTGGTTTAACTTAAATCAGGAAGGGGTCTGGGTCAGGCATTGCATAAACTGGTTTGACCTCAATCAGTTAAGTCTGATACTACATTCAACCAGGTTCATCTCAAACCGGTTTTGGCCTTTTTGAAACTGGCTTATGTGCACTGAACTTATGTTCTGTTACAGGTTTAAACCAGTTTCTGCTGACTTAAATCAGTTCGTGTGTAACTTCTGTCCCTGAGGGATGATCCCTTCCTGGGTTAACTGTCTAGGCAGCCATACTTACCTTGGGTCTCTGGCTGACAAGCTCTGCCCCAGCTAGTTAACTGGCTACCTTCCTGACTGGTTGCTAGCAGTGCTGCCTATCCATCTACAGTATTGCTAACCCCACCGTGTCAAAAATCATGAGACAAACTCTTAAAAATCAAGAGATTTGAAATGTAAATTATGAGATGCTATTTTTCAAGTGTGTGTGGGAGAGGGCTATTTTCGAAAGTGTGGGGAGCTGTGGGTGCATGTTGAGGATGCAGTCTGGAGAGGGGGGTATGCAGGGAATGCAGGGTACTGTGGGTCAGGAGTGAGGGGCAGCAGCAGAGCTGGGGATGGTGTGGCTTGGGAGTCACACACACACACAGAAACACACATGCACATGTGCAGACACATGCAGACACACACACAGACACGGAGATGGGTCAGGTCATGGGATGGAGCCACGGGTGACTCCTCTAGAGGCACAGGGTGAAGTGCAGCTCCCTGCTGCTCTGCACCCCCCCGAGGGAGATATGGGGGCCACGTGTCCACCCAGATTTGTGCGCAGGGCAGAGGCGGGCTGCCTGCTGCGGGCTAGGGCTTTGCACCCTGCTGCCTTTGCCCCGGAAGTAACACAGCGCTGCCAGGTGGGCAAGGCAATGCAGCATGACCAGCACATGGCTCCCAGGGCAAAGGCAGCAGGACACAGAGCCCCAGCCTGAAGTGGGCAGCCCATCTCTTCCCTACACACAAATTAGGGGGACATGTGCCCTCCATACTCTCCTGGGGGTTCACGCAGTGGCAGGGAGCCATGCTCCCCCCACCCCTGGATGAGCCACCCACAGTTTTGTCCTACAACCCGCCCTGACCCTTGGGCCCCACTTACCCCAGCCCCTGCCCCACTCCCTCCCTCACCATGGGGGCCTTGATCTGCACCCCTGCCCCTTCTCCTCCAGAGACTTACCAGCTAAGAATTCTCTACATGCACCAGAAGAAAAAATACCAAGATATGAATGTTCAATCCCCAGATCATGAGTCAAAGTTAATTTGCCTTGGAAATGATGAGTCTTGCAATTTTTTTGCAAGAGTTGGTATTATGGCATCTAACTCCAGCTGTCGCAGCAGACTCCCAAGCTGGGCAGAAATTCTGATTTGGTGAGCCTGCTGGTACCTAGCCCTAATCTGACTCTATTTTTTTACTTTGGTCTGTGGATTATCCTTCAGACTTAGTATCTTGGCATCTGATTCCTGGACCCTGACCTTGACCCTGGCATGCATTTTTGGGCTTTTCCCATGGATTTCCCTCTGGACCTGGTAATTTGGCTTCTAAACTCTGACCCAGCCCTGGCCCCTGCCTTCCTTCAGTAGCCTAATCATTAGGCCAAACCATCTATGCCCTGGTCCCAAACAGATCCTGTAGGAATCCTAGCTCATAAACACAAAAGGTAGCATTTTACTTACTTCTGATTGTCTGAGTGATAGTTTTTAATCATATAAGTGATATCTTTAGCCTTCACATACAAGTAGAATTGTGTTTTCTTGCATGCTACATGCCCCTGAATAAGACACACACCTTCATTTTGAGAAGACAGAATGAAGAAAAAAATGGTCTGGCTGCATAGAGCAGAAACAGAGCTTATCTTCAGCTCAGTCACCCTCCCTTCCCTGCTCAACCAAAAGTAGAACTTCTAACCCCTGCTGAAGACTGGTCTCCATGGGTAGAGCTATGATCTTGATAAGAGCTAAAAACTGTTTCCTATTGAAACAGAAGGAGAGAGACCAGGAGCAGGTAGCAGACAGCAAAACTGCCAGCAGAAAGGTTAACTTGATAAATGGAAGTTCAAGACCACTAAAAAGAGAGATGATGATTAACGTGTGGAGGAAAGAACAATGAGTCGTTAACGCAATTTATTCCCTTAGCTGGCTGAATAAACATGCCACCACTGTTGCTGGGTAGTTGATTTAAGGGAAGGAGTGTGCTTCTATTCCAGCTAGAAAAAGCAGCTTCTCCATTGATGACATGCACCTCAATTTTGGGGGGATGATTTTAGGGAAAAAGGTAAAAAGCACTATGTTGAGCAGTCAAAGATACAGGTACAAGCACCATCTACACAAGGGGGCCTGGAACCCAGTTCTTTGCTTGCACAGGGAAGTGCCCTGCAGTAAGCTAAACCTGGAAGGGCCCTCCCCTCCATCTTCTGCTTAGGTACATGCATAGGTAGTCATCTACACATGCAGAGTTATGTGACCGAGAAACAGAATCCCTACGTGTGCATAAATGTTGCAAACTTCTACTTAGGGACCAAAGAGAAATATAAGTCCATAAATGTACTCACAGCACAGCTTTCACTATTGTCAGGTCGATGAGGAATGATAAAAGACAAAACATCCAAGGAGCCTGGGCAATTCAGTGGAGTAGTGGACTGGTTCTTGCAGCTAGTCAGCACCACAAAATAATGGGTTGGGATTGGGATTTCTGTGTTTTTGACATGCCTGTAAAAGAACACTAAGTTAGTGATAGGCTTGATAACTAAGGGTATAAAAGACAAAAACCACTGGCATCAAAACAGTTTTATGGAGTGTCGATCATTGAAGAACTTGACCAACTTTTTCCACTGGAAAAAAAATCTTTATGATAGATTTTTAAGTTGACTGGTCTTCTGCAGCAAACCCCAGGCTAGCACAGTAAATAGTTTTGAAAGCATGTTTAAATATGTGGCCAGCCCATTGAAATCAAATCCACTACTCACTCACTTAAACTTCAACACCTACCTAAATATTTTGGTGCATAAGAGTCTGAGTGCTTTTGCATGGGGGAATACTGAGCCCCATATTTGCATTTCATTCAGTTAACAACTGAGAAGTCTGAAACTGCATTTGAGAAAAACAAAGAGATAATTAACTCTGTTTAACAGCAAAAACAAAAAGTGCCAAGTTAATGACAGCTGACAACCTGCTATAAAAATCAATTTAGAAGTCATAGATTAAAACTGTTCTACATCAGTTTTATAGCCATGCCTCTGTAGTGTGTACACAGGGACTAACCCTGTGAGGTGCCAAGTGACTCCTGAATTGCTGCTGGTTACAGGGTCAGGCAGTTTATGCTTGAGATGACTAACCTGGCAGAAATAAAACATGTTTACTGAGAACTGTAGACAGCGTTATGTGGTTGACATGGTATTAGAGCATTTTGCTTGGAAGGAATCTCCAGCCTGTCATCTCATCTACCCTCCTACATTGTGGCAGAACTGATTTCACCATTCTCCAAACCACCCTGGACGGATGTGGTATTAAGTCTGGCCTTAAACACAGCCTTTCATTGATGGTGTTTCTACAGATGTCACAGCATCTTGTGCTATTACCTAAGCATTCTTACAGCCAAAAGGGTTTTTTTCCCTAATATTTAATATAAATTAAATTTTGCTGTTGTGTATATTATGTATCCCTGTCTTTTTATAATTCCCGCTTGTGTATAAGACTCCTCTCAGTGTTATGTCTAGACAACAATATACTTGATATGTCTAGACAACTATGCTACTTGATACTCAGTAGTACGCTACATGTCAGCTGCTTGAGACCATATGGTATGCAAGGAAACTGTGAGAATTGAAAATGTTTTTACAACTTTTGACATGTTGATGAGTATATATACATATTTTTAAATCTTATTTCTAAAGCATTTAATACTCTGAAAATGTCTTACAAGTACAGGGACAAATTCTGATTGGCTGCTTGAAAATACATGCCAGTATTCTGGAGGGGGAAAAAACAGTTATGTACATGAAAAAACAAGAAATTAGGTGGGAAGATGTGAATGGAAGACATAGTTTGTTTGGAGTAGCCATATCTGTGTGAATACATGGGCTATTATTATTATTTCTTATGAGTGTTATTATGGCACCTACAGGACCCTGTCAGGAATCTGGATCCAAATGAACACACTGTTAGCAAGCTCAGAACAAAAACATGGTCCCCTGTCTTACATAGCTTATAATAAAAAGCTCCTCCTATACATTACATATATTACGCAATTAACTGGTTAAGCAGGCAATAAATTTTGACCAGCCACACAAGCAAGATAATTATCACACCATAAAAACGACTCTCCAGCTATAGAAAGAGCCACCCAGCTACAAAATCAGTGCTTGAAAATATATCTGGTTTCTATCCAGCTTCAATTTTAATGTACAGTAGGGCCCTACAGTGGAGACAACAGGGAATACAGTGGATGACAGAACCTTAGGTCCCTGTCTACACAGCACACTTAACCAGCAAATCATACCTTAAATTGTGACCCAGCTACATAGTCAACCAATTAATGACATGATAAAGCAAGCAATAAGCTATGAAGCTACTCCACAAAAATGTGGAATAATTGTATAGCTTGTTCTGATCACACTATTAATTGAACATGTGGCCAAGTGCTCCCCTGTGCCTGGGACACCCAGTCCCAGGGTGCACCAGGCACAGGGGTGTACCACCCACTGCCAGCCCCACAGCTGACAAGGCTCCCAGTGTTGTCAGCTGCGGGGCTTGCAGCAGGGAGAGCACTGCCCCCCCATGAGCCTCCTTGGCTGTAGGGTTTGCAGCAGGGACGGCAGGAAGAATGCTGCTCCCACTGCAAGCCCCACACCTTAAAAGGCTCACAACTGTGACAACGTTTCTCCGCAGTTCCTGTGCTGAGACTCCTGAAGCTGACAGTGCTCACAGTGGGGGCAGCATTCCCAGAAATGCCCCTACTGTGAACCGTACTGAGCCCTGTCAACTTCAGGGCTTGCAGCTACAGGATTGGTGCAGAGGGAGCCTGGGATCATGATCCCCTACACTGGCGATAAGGTATGATGGGATCTAATGCCACATATGGCATGGTAGGAGGTGTGATTGTGTAGATGGCACATTAGATTCCACTGAGATGCATAGGACATACACGCAGGTGCACATGCACCCCTTGAGGTCGGCTGTGCACCCCCTGGAAGAGCCAGCCGTGAAACCGGAAGTGCACTTCCAGTTTTGCCACTGGCTTAGCCGTCCACTCCTGGCGGGGACCCCCTGGTTGGCGATTGGCTGCTGGGGGACTCTCTTCTCCTCCCCCCCACCCAGCAATCTGGTGCCTCCCCAGACTCGGGAGGCACCAATTGCCCATGCACTGAACCTTTACCTGCACATGTAGAGGGGCCCTCTGTGACAATGAGTTAATTATAATAAGAGCACAGCTCCTGAACGTCTGGATATGCCTCAGTGGGCTCCTTCTATATTTCCAGGAGAGCCAGAACCAAGGTAGCCATCTAATTTTACATGTAGTTGCTATAGTTACAGTTAGCAAAGTGTCTGGTATGTGTGTGCAGTACATGTAGGTAACTTTTTACAATTATTTTTTTTTTACTGTAACTTTAACGTCTGAAGGATTCTCTCTGCCTTCAGAGGCAGCTGCTATTTTGTGAGTGACAATGGATACAACATTATAGAGAAAGGAAATACTCTCACAAATACTTTATTGCTGGTCTTTCAGACTCAAAGGATATATGTTTGCCCTTTGGGTATGGGTGGGAGCATCTACACGACGCTACATTGCTGTGGCGATGAGCTACTGCACAATAGCTCGTTGCTATGGCAACGTAGTATTGCCAGGCATGAACCATAACGCTGACAATATTGAGAGCGAGCAAAGAGTGATATGGTTAATGCCGATTACTGTGCAGTCATTTAGTACTTCCTTAAGCCTTTGAAGTACTATTGCTTAAGCAAGTAATAAATGACTGCGAGGTAAACTGCATGGTCAGCCGCTCATGTAGAAAATAACACATGGTTATGGAATAAGCCAGAGTTGGAGACTTACTTCAGTTGCTTTCATGTACTTACTCTGTAATTTCAGCAAGAGTATCAAAATGGCCATCATAATTGTAATCAAATACTGGTCCACTAACCACATTCAGTCCATTCCTCTCTGCAGCATACTTTAGGAGCAGCACATCGTGCAAGTAGTTCCATATTTCTGCCATTAAAAGAACAGTTGCACATAATTAATACCAGTTTCAAGAGGTTAGACTTCTTTAACATGTTGGCAAAGAATGCTTCTCTTGTCTCATGACTAGAGAAAAAGTAGGCACCACCATTCTATTGATATAATTTGCTTAAAGTGTTAACTTTAGGATGTAGGGTAGTGAGAATATGTTTATAGTTATAGGGAGCATCTCCACAGTAAAGCATCACCAACTGCACATGCGCCAGTATTAGGGTGCTGTTAACTCTGCAGGAAGATAGTATTGTCAGGGACAGTACAATCTTATGGTACAGCTTAACTCTACTAAAACACACATTTAGACGGTGACGGGCTGGCTGGGGCACGAAGGTCCTTAACTGCAAGGGATGCCTGCGCCTAGCTCCATACTTCAGCACCCTCGTGCCCTGGATAGCCCCTTTGTCACCCAATGCTAGCACCTGGAGCTGAGCTGACACCCACAAGTCTTCTGACAGCCCAGGGCTGCTCTGCCCTCAGGAGCTGTTGACTCTAACTGAAACAGCTCTGGAGTTTATCACTGCACATTAAATTTCATGTGTAGATATACCCACAGAGTGGCTAAAAAAGCCCTTTTCTCTGTTTGCCTCTTATAGCTATAACTCTTATCTGCAGTAACAGGCCAGTAGGTCTCATACTTGTGACAATGCTCAATTTCCTTAAGAAACTTTTTATTTTTAATTAATTTCCTTCTAAGATTCAGGTAACTGTGCTGGTCTGGGTTTTTTTGTTCACACAGAACAAGGTTATAAATGAAGTCTGAATGAACAATGAAAAGTAGCCAAAACTGTTTTTTTGTTCAAGCACAAGACTTAAACAAATATAGATAAGATAAATCTATATCTATATCTGTAGCTGTGTTATTGCTAATGGCTATGTAACAGAAAGCCAGGATGGATAGATGCATGGACATAACAGTTTATTTCAAGTGTACAACAAGCACATCTACCGGAGGTGAACTATCCAACTAAGAGTTCATAGTCTTTGGTTCCTGAGCCTCTGATAAGCAGGGGCAGTGTCAGGCCACTCTTCTCTCTGCCACATGGAGTCAAGGTAAGAGTCAGCTCTGCGAGGCTGCTAAAGATCAATACATTCCAGATAAATCCACAAAAATAGCTCTGAAGGCCTATCTCCTCTTTATACCACCTGAGCAGAACAAAGGGTTAGGAGAGGAAATTCAAATACTAATACATTGCCATTAGCAAAAAGAAGCTTTAGGTGGACTGTCTACAGAAAAAAAAATCAATTAAATGCATGTGTTTCATAATATTCCCTACCAATATCTTTTAAATTTTTTAGTGCAATTAATTAGATCTGGATATACTGAATATTGATATTACAGCATAACAGCAGTATTTTAAAAAATATTTTACTTAGCTAAGGGAAAGAGCCACTTAACCAACAGAGTGTACATGGTCATCAAAACCTTTGAACCTACTTTTGAATTGGGCATACATGGGGACAATATTGCTGGTAAGTAAAGCATCATATTGTTCAGAAGCGGTTGAGTTGTAGTCTGAAAAAAAAGAGTGAAACATGCATTAATGACTAATATACACAAAGAGGTTTCTCATATAAAGTTCCCATATCACTGAAGATGGATATATTTATATTATTGTGCATTTCCTTAATTAGAGCTTCACATTGGCATGGGAACTATAGCGATATACATTTATAAACAATACATACAGCTATATATAAACTCTGACGATTGTGCAATCTATAGTATACAGTAGGGGACTGAATGAGACTGAGGATTTGTTATGTAAGCCTAGAAAGTATTAATCTGGGATAAATGACAATAAAGGATTTCCCACACATAAATTTCTCTAGGAAATGATCTATGGGGCATGCCAGAGAAGAATCATTACACCATTAGTATCCCAGAGTGAAATCCACTCACTGGGATTTTGTTAACTGTCTCAAGCCTATTTAGCCTTAAGAAATTATCATTGTTAAATATATAAACCAATCAAAACAAAAATGTATAATACAATAAACTGTTCTAGAAAACATATATTTTCATTCTTGGGAGAACTCTCCCAAGAAGAAGAGACGTCTCAGGTATACAAAATTCATGGTAGCTTTGTGACATGTAGAAAAAAGCTATAGGCTGAGACTAACCGGCTTCTATTCACTTCTATTCTAACCCAGCTTTGCATTTGATCAAAAAATTAATACACCACCTTAATCACAGGTTAGTTCCCCTCTCTGTACTATCTATCTAAACCCAATCTAACATTAGAGTATTTAAAATTGAAATGTCATTGGCACAATTTATGTCAGATACTTGACTTCATTCTGCCTCTTTCCCTTATTCTGGTCAGTTTTCATCACATGCAGCTGTCCCATTTTTAACATAAATCTAAAAGTTCTGAACTGAAAATATTTGGGTACAAGTAGTAGTTGTACTTCTTCTGGTCAATGCACAACCACTGGAAACCTTTTACTGAACAACATGCTTATTCCAGACAGGTTGTTTTGGTGTTGTGTATATGTTTAAACACAAACCCACATCCAGCTGATTAAGATTTTCTAAGTTCTAGCTATAAAAAGAATGATACTAACTGGGAGGATAAAGGAAACCGTGGGTGATATTCAGGTCAGGCTGGTAGCTGGAGCAATTTTGGCTCTGAGCAGCAGGGATTCTAACATCAGCCCGCAGACGGTCGGAGCCAGTGGGAGGAAGAGAAGAAACATCTCCCTGCTAAAAGGAAAAAAAAGGAAAAAAAGGGGAAAAAAAGCATTACGCCCACACTTGTGGTTAACCCAATACCCTATATGGACTCTGACTTCCTAGAATGGCTTTCATTGAATCGTTTCCCATTTTTTAAATGAATCGAGTCAATGTAAGTAATGGAAACTCATGTTTTCTATAGAGAACTTTAACTTGATCCTTCTCTGTGTTCAGAAACTCTTAGAGCCCCTTTGTGACCATTCTCAAGACATCGATCTTAGGTTGATTGAGAGCAAGTAGTGGGGTAAGCCCCAAAAGAAGCCACACCAGTATATTTCCAGGCTTGAACCATAAGTGCAGGAGCAAGTGGGCAGGGCATACTCAGAGCAGGATACTGCAATATAGACATGTCCAAAGTTAGTGAAAAAACCTAAACACTGTATAAAATTGTAGTACTTAAGGACCATGTTGTACATTACTCTAAAAAGATGACATTTTACTTGTTCATTGCCCTGAAAAGGAAGTTATTTTTGGAAGGATAAATTTTACTTCATTTCCTACTGTGAGGCAGAATATGATGAGAAGAGGATGAAAATTAAGCAATGCTAACAATAATACTGTAAGGGCTAAATTCTCAACTGGTATAAATTGGCATAATTCCACAAATTTCAATGGAGATATATTAATTTACAGCAGTTTACAATCTGGCTCACAACATTTCTTATCAGTTAGTTGACTCTAACATCCATATTTATAACTGCTAGGGCTGCACAAACAGCATTACCAGCATGCTGTTTTCTACAGTAGTTTTCCTATCATAAGTGATAGCATCATTTCATCATTGTGTTAAGTTTCCTTTTTATTAAGACATTACTGTACTTGATGTAAGAAAATGTAATCATTCATCCATCATAGTTAATCAGATCTCTTCTTTTCTGTTTAATATATCAAGAGGATTTGGGGTTTGCTTTATTTTGTAAGTCTTCTGAACTTCATAAACCATGATTAGATAGAGAGAGAGAGAGAGAGAGAGAGAGAGATAGGAGATGTAGTGTAATGTCCCTTTTGATTTGTTAAAGTGAATTGAAGGGAACGAGCGTTGTGTTTTTGCTCCATTTTTTCCATCTTTATTGAGATTTATGAAAGTGTCTGTAGCTGCCTATCCTGTGATCCAAGGGCATTACATTAAAATATAATATTGCTTCTCCCAGATAAACAGCTATCCCCAGCCCTCCATTAAGTTCCATTAGTTTAAACTGTTGGCTTCATATGTCCCACTGGTCCCATGTATGGTAATGGTTGTCAGCTATGGTAAATGGCACTCAACATGAATGAAAGGTCACTTGATCTAAATGTAAGCCCAGGGTCACGGTGAGGGCAATAATTTAAATCTGAGCCCTTACAGCTCTCCACCTGCACCTTCCCCAAAACGTAGCAGAAAAAATTGGGGTATTTCAGTACGTGTGCAATGTTAGGAAATCTGATAGAATCAACGGAGAAAGTGTGTTCCAAAGTTGACAACATCAGCGAAGAACCCCACCAGCAGGACTCTCCAGACGACAAGTTCCAGCTTGACAGCTTCTGCTAACCAGTATAATATGTCATGGGGACAGAAGCAAACTCTCAAGAAACCAAGTCATTCAAGCCTATGTAGATGAACATCTACACATTCCAGTTCCATCTGGAAACTTACTGGAGGCAAGGCAGAACCTGGAACAAGGGCAGAACATAGGGCAAAGTAGCACCTTGGAAACTAGCTGGTTCAAAGAAATATGCGCTTTTGTAGGCAACAGCCTATTTTGTTTTACATCTGCCATCTGATGATCTAAGCTGTTGTCTAGGCCTCTCTGAATCAGTTAATCCCTAAAGTGCCACCTTGCCTTTCCACCTGCCTGACATCAGACTAACCTGGCTAACCACCTCTTCATTCATGGAATAAATATATAATCTGCTTTCATTGTAAAACAGCTTAACAAGAAGGCTGATGCATCCAGCAGTACATTGGTTCTGAATGGTCTGTTAGTGTAATTATACATAGAGCTTATAACAGGAATCTAAACAGGTGACAAAAATCATAAATGTCGCAAGAACCTTTATGAAGGCACACTGCTCTTTTCTCATGAAGCACAGATGAAAAATTGTTCTTTAGTTACTGCTTCTACTTAGCACCCAGGAATAGACTAGGATTTACTGTCTTTTCTTGACTACCACATGCATGCATATTGTTTTTGGGAAGGCAGAATGAAGAAAGAAATCTTTTTTACAGAGTTATGGTTACATAGAGCAGGGGCATAACCTAATCTTCAGCTCCCTCTCCTGCTTAACCAAAAGCTGAAACCCTAGCTGCTATTGAAGACTGGTCTCCATGAGTGGATCTTTGATTTGGAAAAGAGCTAAAAAAGAGTTTCTAGGGCTATAAAATAAGAGAAGAGAGATCAAGAGCAGCTAGCAGACAGAAAAATTACCTAAAGAAAGGTTAGCTTGGTTAGTGGAACTTCAAGACCTTTAAAAAGGAAAGATGATTCTTAATAGCTGTGGAAGGAAGAACAAAGACTCCCTCAATCAATTGACATGCTTAGCAGCCTAAATAGATGCCTGGAGGAGTATTAATCAAAGCAGGTTTTTTATATTCCTGGAAGAAAATCAGCTTTCCAGCTAAAGACACACATCCCAATTTTGGGGAGCTGTCCTCTGGGAGAAAGGTATGTGTGGTATATGAGTAAATAGGGTAATATCACAGCTGATTTATACACCTGGGTTAAAAATGGCCTTTGTGTTCCCTAAAAAGAAGTTCCAATAACTCTTCTGGCACCTTCTCCCAACCCACTAGTATTACTTCACTCTTCAACTTAAACTAAATTCAGTTAGTTGTAAATCAAGTCTCCAGTTTATATAGAGAATGCATTATTAATTCTACTGTTCCAGCCAATCCAGAAGAATACAGATGTTGACCAAGTTGTCATCCGCCCACTGAGTACATCATAGCCTGTATTTTTTCACTATCCCTGCCAGTAACATCAGAGCCAGGTTGAACAGGATGGATGATAATATAGATCCTTATTAGACCTAGCAGTAGAAAACTCCAGTTGGAGAAAAAAGTAGCCACAACAAACTTTTGTTTCTTTCAAAACCATAAGAAAGGAACTAATGCAAAGGTAATTCTTGATTACTCTTGCTAGAGTCTGCAAGCAAGTCAACAGACCCTCATGAATAACAGTATCAGAAATTGCTGACATCACCATGGACATTTTAGCTTTATTCTTTGCTTCAGTGATAGCACTTAATAGAGCCAGGCCCAAATTTATCTCTGAAATCATGAATGCAAGATAAATCAGAAAACTTCAAAAACCACAAGAACTACAATGTCATAAGCTACTCAATGACTTTTCCCCAAAATAGCTGATTTCTAGGCATACTGTCAGTGCCAACAGCTGGGTCTTTAATTGATAGCCTACCTATAGCTTCTCTAAGAAATCCTCCTTCAACACTTGCATTGCCCAAAATTTTAATGTTTCAGCAGGTCAAACTCAAAGATGATTTCCATAGCTGTATCTACTCTTGCTTCTTCTGTCTCAGGTTATATGGGGAATCTTGATGACATGTGAAGAAGCCACTTACAAAGACTGTAAAAATTCCTCTGAGGATGAGATTTTGAAATTCTTTCTGGTGCATATAATGAGATTTTTTGTGACTAGCTAGTAATTAATGTGTCAGGATGCATAATTTATTTGCATTTCATGGAAGGCTTTAACTATAACATTCAACAGCAGCTATTGTGGTCTCTCAGGTCAACTTTCAGCCACTTCCAGGAGGCTTTTTTGAGAAATGCAAGCAGGAAAACTACTAAAACCACACAGACACACATGCAAACCCCTTCCATAAACCAAATGAACTAAAATCTTTACTTCCATAAATCATAAGAGGACATCATATCTCAATGCTGTATTTATCTTATTATGGTATGGTGCTAGTTACAAAAGCTAAACTACTTTGCAATATTTTTATGCTAAGCTTAAAAAGTCCTTCCATATAATTTTCTTTAACTACAAACAGGGCACATCTACATGCAATAATTACTGTGCTGCAGTAAAATCTCAGTGTCTACATGTGCAGAGCTATTAGGATGGAGTAAACTAATTAACTCCTGCAGGTTAGTACTTGTAAACACAAGTACTATTTTATGGAGGATTTTTTTTTTTTTAACTCAGCAGCAACATACATGTAGACAATGACCAGGGCTAGCTGGGGCACAAGGGTGCTTCAGTGCCGGGGCTGCCTGCCAGCTAGCCCCACCTGAAGCATCTTTGTATCCCAGCCAGCCCCTCCTGGGCACATTGAGCCAAGTTGAAGCAGCCCCAGGCTGTCTGGCTGACTCTTCAGGCCAGTGCTCCAACCTGGCTCAATGTGCTGCAGTCCCGGGTGCATGTTCAAACATGGTGCTGGAGAGTAATAAACTCTGGAATGATGTGCACCAGAGTTTATTGGTGCACATGAATTGCACATGTAGATACACCCACATATTCCAAATTCATACACAGATAGAATACAGTATATTCACAAAATCAAATAAAACTATAGTGCATCCAGAAAGTGAATGCACAACCAGTGAAATATTATAAAGAACTTTGAAATTCTACACACAAAAGGGTTAGCATGCCACCCTGTACATGCTTATTAATACAGGATAAAAAAAAATCTTATTTTTTTCTAAGTATCCTGAGGCAGCCTGTTGCAACCATTTCCTTCTCCTTCAGAAGATCAATGTGTAACCTCAGAAATTTATCCCAACTACCACTAATTTGAATCTTAATTTTTGCTTCCAAATCAGAAAAAAAATGTAACGGAAACTTGGGCTGCTGTCACTAGTGTAATGTCTGTAATTATGTCCTGTCAAAAAGAATAGCTCATTCATAACACCATTCATCATACACAAGGAAAATTACATGCAGCTTATGCGATCAGGGTCTTGTACCTACACTGGCTTCTTTATACTGACCTCAATTAGCTAGACTTCTAGGCTAAGTACAGACAGTCAAAAATCCTGGGGCTGAATTGATTCAGTCTTCACAGTTAGTCTAAGCTGTGTAAATTGAATCAATAAGCAAGTGAACAGACAGACATTCACTTTTGATTTCAGAAATGGAGCCACATGCCTGCAGTGGCACTGATCAGCAACCAGGGGGTGCTGAAGTATACCTCCCTACTTGGCTGGAGCAGGCAGCATGGGCTAGCTGGCCCACCCTACAAGGGGGTATTGTAGGGAAGGTACAAAGCATTGTGGGATGTTGGGGGAACTGTGAGGTAATTTGAAAAAGGAATGCCCTTATTTGGGAAAATCCCAAGAGATTTGAGATGCAATGAGCAAATCCATGGCTTGCTTCAATCTGTTGTGCTACTTGAACCTGACTATTTCATTCTGTGAACAATAATCACAAACTAGAGGCACTGAAAATCACTAGGCCTTGTTCTCATGCTTAGCAGACACCCAAGATGCACTGTGTTATCTCTCTGTGTGGACCCATGCACAAAGCTTCCTATGAATGAGACTGTGTACAGAGCTTCCTGGCTGCTGGCTGTTCAGCTACTGGTAGAACTAATGAGGCCTTTGTCCTGCTTTTCTCATCTTAGAAACTGTTATTTCTTGCAGGTAGTATGTATTAGTAAAACTTTACCTCCACTGAGTTTGTAACTTCACCCTATGTTATTGTCCCTAACAGGTTTAGAGTCAATCGATTACTGTATTATTTCAAATCACACTGATAATAGGTATAATCCATATTGCTGTTATTTTGGGTATACAGTCCAAGTCTGTCCAACTGGTGGCCTGCAAGCCACATGTGGCCCACAAGAGGTTAAGGATATATGCGGCCCCCAACCTCCTAACCATCCACTGCTTCCACTATCAGTTTCACCATTCTGAGGTCACCCAGTTTTTGAAAGTTGTATACAAATGCTAACATTATTGGATTTGGGATCTTTTTAAGAGAGTCTGTGAAAAAAATTAACAGAGAAGATGAGGTGAAAATTCTCAAAAAGTCTATATACCACATGCATAAGTTACAAGACCTTCCATTACCACATTACATTATACTATGTAAAAAATAGTGATATTCCTTTAGTTAAAACAAAATCTATTTTAACTTTTTTTCATTGGGAATAAAGCAAAGATTATATTCTATAGAAAAAAAAGTTTATGAACTCAACCCTATGACCCAACTTGTTCAAGAGATTCACTAATCCTTGAACTCAGCAAGGGTCACCTATCCCCAATTATAATATTTACAACTCGTGCAGCTTTGGAATATACAGAAACTGCATTAGAACAAACTGTCTAGTAGCTTTGTATATATTTGGAAAACTTTGTTAACAAAGAAAGATAATGATATGCTTAAGAGAACTTACAAGCAGCCATTCTTGGAAATTATAGTCTGATTTTTTTTCTCAGGAACTAACAGAGACAATTTAGAGCACAGTAGATGGCCAAGAAAGAGAGTCAATGTGTTTTCAGTTTCATGTATTTCCTCACTTACAATTTCCTCCCATTATTTATATGCTATCCCCATTCTGTTCCACTGTAAAACAGGTTAGCCATTTTATATATACAGGCTAAGTTGAACCAACTTAACTGCTGTGCTGAAGTAGTCATTTTCCCATTTTTAAGGTATTTCAAGTTTGCTTAGTTTTGACTATTTTGCAAGTTGATTTTCAAAAGAAGCTCGACTTGGACAATTAGGCGTTGAATTAAACACAAGCTGAAGAAGCATTGAAAATCTGTGGCTTAAATCCATGTTCACACCACAAAAGCAAACAAAAACTAAGCAAGAGTTATTGTTCTCTGAGAAAATTATAAAATGCACCTTTCCATTATCAGACTGAGTAAATTAAATCTGGCTTCTTTCAATAGGGAAAAAAATATTAAAATTCAAGAAAAAAGTATGCGTGAAAGAACCACAACATCCCTCTTGCTCATAAGCAACAACCCTAATGAATGAACTATGTTTTCACTACAGCATATCATTCAGTTATGTATGGTAAGTATATTTGGTAACCTACAGTTTTATTGATAGTGTATGCACTCCACAGTGGCATCCAGATGGTGTGACTGTATCCACTCACGTACCCATGATGGTAAAGGAGGCAGTAGTTGTTTTGCTTCTGTAAAACATGGGGTCTCCCATAGGGCAAATGATAAGTCTCCGCCTTCTTCACTACAATTTAAACAATAATTATAGTTTTTTGTATTTGTGAAAATATGTTTTTTGTTGACAGAAAAGCATATTCAAGGGGAAAATACATACAGAATGTAACATACATGAAAACTTAATATGTGCACTACATTTAATATCAAAATTCCTTTTGGATATTTAAAATTGCTTAACAACAGTGTTCATGTTTTGATTAATACATGGATAATATATCACAAAAAAATCAGAGGCCTGATCTTCCTCTCATAGTAATTTTAAACTGCTATAATTCTGTTGATGTGCTGGTGAAATGAGATGAAGGCTTTAGATTAGAGGCAGGCAAAATATAGCCAAGCAATTCCATCCAGGCCACGGGGCCCCTCCATAAGCCCTGGCCCAGGGCTGCCCCTCTGCAAGCTGGCACCTCCATGCAGGCGATGCAGCTCTGGTTGATAAGCAACCAGCTCCCACCTCAGCCTGGCCTGACCCACCCCAGCCCCAAGCCAAGGGGCACTAGAGACAAGAAACCTCTGCCTGGCAGAGTTTTTGCCTGGTGGCCCCGAGGATGTTCCCAGCCTCCCTGCCTGAAAGCCTGGAAATGCAAGTAAGGGCCCCACTGGGCCGGGGCCAGGGACTCCCACTGGGGGAAAGAGGGTGGGAGTGCAGGAAGCCATGCACAATGGGGTAGGCTGGTTCCACATGCTGCAGAAGCACAGAAGCTGTGCACTATGGGATCAGGTGGGGCTGGCCTTGCACGCGGCTACCATGTGCAGCCAAGGACTGGGGTGGGAGTGTGGGCACTGCGCAATGTGTAGCCAGGCTGGCCCCACGCACTGCCACCACATGCAGCCAGGGACTTGGGTGGGAGCACTATTGGGCCAGGTGAATTTGGTCCCACAAGCTGCTGCCACCTGTGGCCAGGGACTGGGGTGGGCATGCAGAGAGCTGCAGGCTATGGGGCTGGGTAGGGCTTCTCCTCTTGCTGCCACCACATGCAGCTCCAGGGATTAATACATACTCCAGGGACTCTAAGGACCCCCATACATGCACACTCACAGCCTCTCACACATCCCACTCCCAACACACACTCATACCCTCTCCCAGCCCCCACACCCCTTCACCCCAATCACAGCCACACCCTCTCACACACCCCCAGCCGAACCACATACGTTGTACTCTCACCCCCCTACACCTGCCCCCCACTGACCTTACTCACACACCACACACACCTTACCATACACCCAAACACACTCCCACAGCCCCCACATACACACCCCTACCTCCACACCCCCACCACACAAAAGATACAAGAGTAAGACCGTATTTTACGCTATTATGCAATCTCCTCTAGATACACTATACAAACACATAAATCAGGACTTTTATTTAAATTAAATTAAAATACGTTATAGTTGATCTTTGATTTTTTTAGTATTTTTTTTTCCGGTTTCAAGATGGGAAACCCCCGCCCCCCAAAAGGAGTACTTCCAGGAGAAGGGGAGGGACTTCCGGTAGGAAAGGTCAGAGGTTATGGGTAGGAATTATGGTCCCAAGATGGCAGCCAGGAGGTGGGACACCTGTCAAGGTGCCGAGCTACACTTGCGGCCCTCAACAGCTCACCAAAACTCATTAAGTGGCCCTCCAGCTGAAATAATTGCCCATCCCTAAGTTAGATGAAGTATTATATAAATGAACTGCCAAAAAGATTCACAAAAACAGATAGTAGTGCACACCCACAAAAGCACACATCTATGGGAGTTGTGTGAATACATAGATAATGGTAAAATATAGCTGCAGGACTGGGAACAGCAGTTATGACCTGCAGGACCTAAGGCCTGATCAAAAGCCCTTTTAAATGAATGGGTGTCTTTCCATGAGCCAGATGGCTGCCCCACATCTGCAGCTCCTGTGTAGCTGTACTAGGGAGAACGGTTGTGTGAGGAACTTGTTCTCTTATACTTCACCCCTGGGCATCATAGTAAGTGTTCATGCATTACTGTTTTTCCAAAGACTCCCCATTATAAATGCCATGAGATTGGAGGAAGGTACTGTGGCACCCAAAAGTTCATCTATAACCCTCCCAAATACTGTATACAAATAGTCCAATAAAAGACTGCCCAAAATAATCATTATGTCTCTTTTTTCAATTGATTTTCATAGCAGTTACATATCTGAGTAAGAAAAACTCTTACCAAAGGAGTCTGACAGCCAATCTATTTTCCAGGCAGGAAAACAAGAAAAAAGTCAATACTTATGGTAGGCTCTAATCTTAACTCACCTAAAGGATTCTAGTCTGAAAATAGTACCACTGAAATCAACATAAAGTAAAAAGAAAAGACACTGGTTTAGATCAGCCCTGTTGCTTTTATTTCCTTCAACTTACTTTCTTCTGTGCTGAGATTTAACTGTTGATTTATCAATTCCAATCCCTGTAAAATAAAATATTAAAGAATTATTCAAGAAGAATTTGTGCCTTTTAAAAAAATGGCAAGACTGGTAAAGAAATCTCTAAAACTATTGCTTACCACTGAGGGAAATGTGCACCCTAAATTATCTAAAGGAACTGTACTGGTAAAGGGACATGAAGAAGGTGATGACACTTCTTGTGGAAATGATGGATTGAAAAAGGGTATCTTCAAAAGATGGTTTAAGCTGCCATGTGTTCCATTGTTTGGTGTGGGTTTAATATGCAGCAGATCTGTTGAAAAAGGTTACAACAAAATTCAAAATTTTAGAAAAAACTTTGTTTTCTTCCAGAAGAAAATGTAACTTGGCTGACAGTTCCTCTTTTAGGCAATTCTTCTAAATAGTATAATAATATCTCAATTACCTGACCCTCAAATGCAAATGTATCTGATTATTGAAAAATCAAAAGTTTGATTAAACAAGGAAAAATACAACTAAAATATTTCAGGTAAAATCAAGGACTGCCTCTTTATTATACACTGAATACTCTTCTTTGTGAATTTTATCCGTGAAGCAAACAACTTGACCAATGAGCACACTGAGACACAGGTATGTTGGTTAATTGGCCAGTTGTTTCCCAGCCAGGCAGGTGAGTTTGCTCTACAGACAGCTGCGGAAGTTCCTAGATAGTTTTGTTGTATAACATGGGCACTAAACTTTTAAGATAAGCATTAAGATATTGCAGACTGTGCATCACTGCATATTTTTTACAAATTTCCAATGGGATTTGTTTTTAATTTCTAGCCTAGTCCATTGCCATGTTCTTATGAGTTTTTGGCTTGCAGAGGTACACCTATATTTCTGATGAAGGCAGAATTTCTAATGGTCTGCAAGGCTCCCATTCTAAGATGACTGCAGCAGGCACTCATGTAAGCACCATACATTTTCGTTAGGAGTACTTCACTTCCTCATGATTTTAAGTGAACTCTGAAAACAAATTATCTTAATAAAGAGGTTAATTGCTGGCAGTTAATGTCTTGATGGGTGAGAGAGAATATCATAAAGGAACATGGAATTTAAGAGGATTTCAGTGGGCAAGATGAGGTGTTTGGTTCAGAGCAACTGGCTTTGAGTACCTCACCAATGTTTTTTGTAATCTCTCCCTCAGCCTACAGCATTTTGCCTTTGAGAACCCAATATGTCACTGGCTACCTATACTCACCACACATTAGATTGTAAACTTCTATGTTTTCAAAAGGCTCCACTTCAGTTTTCTCCTTGAAACTCGGACCATATGCTAAGAAAATGGCCTAGAGAATAATAATAAAAAGCTGTTATCTGAGTGAATCTGGATTAGAAAACAATATACTAGGCCCAGTTCTGTCCTCAGGAAGGGCAAATCAAGTCAAGTCCTTGTTTCGATATGCTAAGAGCAGATATTAGCCCATTATGTATCATACAAAAAAGATAATTGTGCATAAAATCTCTATTAAGACTACTTAACTATACAATGAAACTGATTTTATGTTTCTCTAACATTTCCATGTCAGCTCCTTAAGAAATAGTTTTACTTGCCAGGTCTTGAATATTTCTCTTGCAATAGCTTATATATGGAATGTTACTGCCACTTAAACAGCTGTAGAAGCATATTATATTCCTTGAGCCATTTTTAAAGCCAACAGGGAGTCAAGTGTCCAGACACAGCTTTTCATGCATGGGTAACAATTTGATAGATGCCTAAGTGACTTAGGACCTTATGTCCCATTTCCACAAATGGCTTAAGCTAGGTGTAGCAAAACTATGGCCAAACAAATGGCACAGGCAGCTGCCCTGTGTGGTGGCATTGGAATGGATGCAGGGAGCAGAGCATGGAGTTGAGTGGCTGGATGCTGCTAGATGAGGTATCAAGTATCACTGCCAGGAGCCAAGTTAATCCTTCCTAGCCCAGCAATTGATGAGGAATTCATGCCTTTGAATCCTATGGAGGTTGCAGTTCCAGGGAAAGGTTAACCTAGTTCTCAGCAGTGATGACTCCTCTTGCAGTGGCATCCTGCCCCTGTTCTGTTAGGTGCAACAATGGCCAAGGTTTGAGAACTCCTGCCTCTGTTCCAGGATCCAAAGTACAGACTCTAACAGGTACTCCTCTGGGAGTGGGGAAGGGAGGAATGCTGAGCCTCACTCAACATCAGCTGTGGCTAATGCTTCTCATCTTCCTTGGCACGTTGCCACTTGTGCACCCCAAACTGAAGGAAGCTGTTTGATAGCTTCCTTCAGTAGCTGTTTGAGGACCCCAGTCTGTGACATGATTGAAAAAAGCCACTGGGGACCACTTCTAGGCAGTTTCACTGGCATATTTTTGGGTTCAGAGCATGCAAGTAGGAACAGGTGGGTAAGGCATGCTCAGGGGCATCAAGGCCAGGACACACTGCAGCCATATTGTTGACATACCCTGAGTCACTTACAAACTGAAATCTTGAGTGTCTGAAAAATTCCCTTTGTGTGACTACATCAGATTTAGAACCATGAGCGCTGTGCAGCGGTGGGCTCCTGTCCATGTGCTGGTTAGAATCTGATGTCAAGTGGATTCAGGATACCATATTAGATGCTGTCAGAGCTTTCATCCAAGTATCTCTTCTGGGTGCCCAAATTGTTCATTAAATATTAGGGTTGGGTACTTGACCAGTCAAATAAAGTTTGGTCAATTGAAGGGTCAAAAATTGTAAAAAAAATTGCCAATAGGTCCAAATAAAACACAGAAAAAGCAAAATTTTTCCACTGAGAAATGTGTTTTTTTGTAAAATTGCTATTCTTTGACCGGTCAAAAATATGCAGTCAATTGACCAGTCACATGACAATATTTGACTGGTCAATTGACCAGCTTGGCAACCCTATTAAGTATGAGTATGTATGTATTGGACAAACTGTAGGATTTGGACAGCCTATGAAAACATGTTTGTAAATTGAGCAAATGCAAATGAACAAGGGGTGAATCTTATGGACACCTCCATTACATGGAATGGGCCTTGAAGTCCAGCGCCAACAAAGAATAGTTAAGGCCAGTCACTGCTATCTTTTTTCATGACACCAAAACAGGAGGGCATTGATTTAAATCTAAAGGCACCACATTTAAAATATATGAAATACCTTATATACTCAGCATGTATTGCAATTAATCTATGGAACTGAAGCAACATATGATGGAGGCAAACAAATGACTATGGTCCATACATGATGTTAGCATCTATATGAATAAAATAATCATCTGCATTTAAACTAACAAATATTAATTTTTTTAGAGATAACTAAGAACTATGGTCAGGAATTTGAGCCCACAGCCTTTATCACTGAAGAGGTAAATGTAATAGAGCCTTTAAAAATCCTTTTCTGAAGTCACCAGAACTGATTACTACAATAGATGTGACTGGATGAACCACTGAACTAATATGGCATTTTCTATATTCTTCTGACAGGAAATAGATTTTGAACTACTACAAAAGAAAATCTTAATGAGGTCTGAACAGAACTGCTGTAATACAAAAACAGGATGCCACTAGAGGAAAGTATTTTGATGTCTTATAAAGAATCAAATTGCTTTTATTCAGTGTGCATCATCGGAACAGTAACTATGATTAATGTTTTCTATGATAACATTTCATATGAAATTCTTCTAGTGTTTAAACTTGGGACTGGAAGTGGCTTATGTGAGGTTACTGAAAAATATACTCTTAAAAATATTTGGTTAACTTTAAAATATTTTTATTGTGCCAGGCCTCCAAAACCAGATCCAAATGCAAAATTCCACAAAGTTACAGTGAAAACTATTCTCAAATCCTATCTACCTTATTCTATCAAAGAGGAAAAGATAACTTTTAAGTAGGTATCTCATATCTTTGGATACTTATTTGAAACCTCTAAACCTATAGAGATTCTCCTCTCATTGGTCCAATCAAAAGAATGGGTGACTTAAATATGCTTTATCTCACTATGTTGTACTTAGTTTAGGTACTACAATTTATCTGACTCTTAACAGCTTTCAGGTGTCAGAGACTGGCAGTCAAGAGCCTAAAGCCTTTTGCTATCTCTCCAGAGACACAAGTTCATGCTCTACCCCCAATATGTACTGATGGTGATCTCCACCCATCCAGCTGGAAACAGGTACCTGGGCATTTAGGCTTCTGAAAGACAGGTGACTGGATGCAAAGCTAACCACTTCATTGCCTTTTGTGACACTGATTAGAGAACTTGTGTCTTTACCATGCTAGCCCAAGGAGCTGGTTGGCTCAGGTGGATCTTTGACTTATGGTGGACACCAAGACAAAACTATGGCATTGGGCGTATCTACACGTTTGTATCCACCCCTAAACTTAATGTGCATTTGCCTAATGCACGTTAAGGTGATTTAGATGAGTGTCTACATGTGCACACTCTAAGGCGCATTAACACAGTGTGTGGACCAATTTGGGACTACAGTTAGTCCCAAGTCAGTCGATACACATAGCATTAATGTGCTTTAGCACATCTACTTGTGTGTTAAGGTGCTTTAGCTATTCATGCCTAAAGCTGATACCTGCTTTTGCAGGTATTAAATTTAGGCACAAATAGCCAAAAATTGCCATTTTTAAGGTGCATTCAGGGTGTGCAAATGTGACCTGTGCTTTCAATATGCTGTAAAAATGGCTAATGCACCTTAAATCAGCATGTGTAGACATGCCCGTTGTGTACTTAAATGTGGTCCACAATTGCAGAACTTTACATGGTATACTTGAGGCCAGTTTGAACATTTTATCCTAGGTACAAATTCTCAGGCTTATATTCAGAATGACCATGTAAAAAATTGTAATAAACAAACTGAAACACAATGGGTATGAACAAGCACTACTTTTAGATTGTCCTAACCAGGGTTAGGTTGATCTAAATATCTACTTGTGCAGGCATTCACAGGGTTTAAATGGCCTGATCTAAGTTAATTCAACTCAGGAGGTGCACTAACTTGACTGAGAAAGTTAACCTAATCTATGAAGGGGTTAACCCAATCTAATGAATGCTTGCATGCATATGCAGCATAGCTCCAGAGATGTGAAAGCCCAGCCATTCATTCTACCCCTGGGGTTGTGCTGTTCCTACCCTCCTCCCCTGACAGGCCTATTTTTAGCCATCCCAGCTCCCTCTGACCTGGGTAACACCCCTCTCCCTCTGTGGACCTACCAATACCCTCCCTCCCCCCACAGACCCACTAGGCCCCTTAGACCAGCCAAACCCCACCTGCACCTGCCAAACCCTGCCTGGACCCACCAGCCTCCCCAAACCGACCTGGTAAACCTTGCCTGTAACTTCCAGCAACCCCTGCAGACCTGCCAGCCCCTCCACCCAGATCCTGCTAGTCCTGTCCCTGACCCCATGTTACTTAACTTGGGCTCCCCACACTACTCCTGGTGCATGTGCCACTCCCAGTTTAGGTTTAGGCAGCTTAAAGTAAGATACCTAAACCTAGACCAAGTGCAAGGAATGCAAGCAAAATTGTTCATTTACAGTTTCTATGTTCACTATATAGTGGGAGGTGATATTTGAAAAGAAAACACCTTACCTCCATACTTTTAAACTCATTGTCATAGCCATGGTTGCCTCCATCACAAAATGTATATTTTTTATTCCTATGAAGAAATTGTTCCATATTGTAAATATAGTACTGATATAGCAATAAATACATATTGTCCGAAATCACTAAACTGATGACATGCTCTGTCTCTTAAGGTACTGAGGCTGTTTTAATCAAAAACTGAACTTACTCCTAAGTTTCCAGCTCTTGTGTAATACATGTATGCTTCCAAAATAGAAATAAAAATAAGGATGACGTCTAAATTGAGACATTCAGAGAAGTTCCAAAAACCACATCATCTTCAGGATAATTTCACAATAATCTTTTAGGATTTACCTATTAAGAACATCTGTTGAGAAAATCAAGCTGTGTTTGTCTCCATGGAACAATTTAATTAAGATTGCAGAGGCCTTTGCTTTATGAGGGAACACTGAAATTCATTAGTCTGAAAATGTTCATATCTCACTATAGAGTTCATGCTTTGTTTTGAGCAAGTTGTGGAGGCAGGTGAGTCTACACTGTTTAGGCTTACAATGACTACACTTGAAAGGAGAGCTGTCATTTATTCATTGCTGAGACAACTGAAAATCAAACTGAAACAGATACTTTGACTTTGCTGAGCTATAATTTAGAATTTATCCTGTATCCAGAATAGCTTAATGTATGTTGACTTATTTTGATAACTGCCTTATCTGCCTTATTTTTATAACTGCACTTAGAACTTAGCTGAGAAGAACAATGAATTTCATGTTAAAACTGAAAATATAAACACACCAAAATGAGTATTTCTCTTAAAATTCCCAGGACAAATATTTGACAATACTTAAAATACAAGAGGTCAAATACTGAATAGGTATTTTCTACCTTTCTTTCAAAAGAGTAAGTTTGGAAAATCTTTTTTAGTAAATGAAATTTACATTCAAAATTAATCTTCTCTCCAGAAGTATACAGAAAATGCTTAAGAGTAAAGAGCAAGAGAGTATCAATAAATCACCAAAGAAAGCAAATGTTTAACTCCCAGGAGATCATCTAGGAATACATAAGACATGCAGAGAGTGAGCAAGAGGAAAGGACATGCGGAATATATTTTCAAAGCTTTTGTGCCAGTTGAATCAATAAGGGCAAAGGGAATGTGAAGTTTTCGATCATTTTCAGAGAGAGTGCAAATAGAATGCAAAGGCCTCACATTTCTGATTTTCTAAGATTCATCACCTTTTCTCTTCTCATTAAAATTTGTACCCAGACAATATGCCCACCCTCAGTTGTGTGCACTCCCACGTTGAGAAAGCACACAACATGAACTTTTGAAAAGCTACCCCTATGGATTCACAACATGTGCATGCCAACAATTTATACAGTTTTGAGACACACATTGTTATAATGGCATAAGCAACTGCTACAACTAAGGTCAGATACTTATTTCCATTTCAACTATCACCTTTTCAGTTACTCATACCTTTCCAAGTCATTCATTTTTGGGGACAATTTGCAGGCTTAGTCTCTTACTAAAGAGCTCCTGCACTGTGTTTGTTTTCTTTAACCACTGTGAACCTGACACAATTTGAAGGAGAAAGCTAAACTTTGACAAAAAGGGACCCAACAAAATGCCCTGCTTGGCTTCACAGTGTCAGCACTGCAAGCTCTCCACTTTTAAGGGCCTTGGCATTCAAATGTCCGTACATGCAGCTCTGGGTAAGTTTTTCTACCAAGAGAACAAACTTGGGAGAATTTTCCCAGATAATGTGAATGTTTGTGCACAATAAAAGTAAGCATTGAAAAGCACTTTAAATATTATAGTGAAAACTGGCTTTAACTGTATAAAGCGAGTTATAAGCCTTTGAGGGGAAAAAAGCAGTAGATTTTGCATGAGGTATTCTCAATAAATAAGCATATAAGAACTATCATTTTGGTGCCTCATTGAAATAATGGTATATTTAGAGAAGATTCACATTGAATAAGCTAGATGCTCCTCATTTACCATGCTGGGTTAAGAGGAAAATACTTATAAGCACACCACATAAAGCACTGGATGTCTGGTTTTGAGAGACATGCAAACATTTCCTTTCCATATCCTCCTAAACATTCATTTCTCTAACAGTCTGGAAAATGGATCAGCTATTGGCTTTGCTGCAAGACTTCCAGGTCTTAAATACAAAGGAAATGAAACATCTGGCCAGGAAATGAGACATATTTAGGGTGATGTATAAGCAACTTATTTACTTAACAGCCAGCCACTGTCGGTCAACCAAAAGATGAACTTTGTCGATGCGAGTGTTATAAGCATAATGGAATCGCTTTGGCAAGTTGGGTGTCAAGTAGGGCTTGAAATGCTGGTTGGGCTTTCTGCACTGTAAAACATGAAAACACTCAATCATGACATTTGCTTAACATCAGACATAAACACATCTTTCAAAATGATTATAGGTAACAGGGTGATTATTATACATTATTACATATTAAATGACAGCTAGAATAATAGCTTCTTCATAAAGCTATTAATGATACTTATGTCTCAATTGACAATGGGCATGAAAATGACTGACTTGGACTTTTGATAAGAGAGTCCTGAGGTCAGTCTGTAATAGAGCATGGGTTTGGTGGCCCCTCTGCCATAGTGTAGCATAATATGTGCAGGCACTGCCAGGTTCCTAATTTGCAGATGGACAGACAGAGTGGGAAGGGAGAATCCTGGTGGTGGGTGGGGAGTAGTAACATGATGCTACTACTGCTACTTTCTTTAAAGGATTCCCTCCTCCACCTCAATTTGTGGTTCTTGACACCCATAGAGTCATGGGAAACAGGCCAAAACTGGCACCGAAAGACTAATGCCTGCCCCCATGGTATATAAGATATATAAAATATGTAACAACCCTGTTGACAAATTAGTGCAAAAAACAAAGAACATCCCAAAGGCTTTGGCATATATCATTGCTAATTTTACTGGCATCCATACCTTGAATTAGTGTGAGAGTTCTCACTCCATAAGTAAGTAGCTAAAGGTCTTTGAAAGGTTTGTTTGGTCACTCTTTACCATCTTACCATGCCACAAACAGGGGAAAGGAAAGTATCTCTTCACAAGCCAATGATGTGCCATTCTGAAATCATTTAAAAATTATGGGACAAATCCTATTCCATCTGTTAGACAATTACATGGACTTAAGTATCTAAGTGTGATTCTATTCCACCCTGCTTGATTCCTCAAAAACTGTTAATGCAAAAGGCAGGTAGGTCCTCCTCTTCCTTTCTGCTTTTTTGATATTTAGCCTTAAGGTTAAAGAGGCAACATGTTACAAAAGTAATGTATTAATGATTTTCCAGGAACTCAAGCAGGGGGGAACAGGATTTCACTTAGGCACATAGTTCCACTTAGGCCCTAATTGATGGAAGAGCCATTTGGCAGTATGGCTGCCTATATATGTGCTTGGGGGTAGGGGGTGTATTTTAATTAGAGTGGTTACCCGACAGCCACCCTAATTAAAATGCTGCAGCGTCACATGCATTAACCCTCCACACATTTATAAATGGCTGTAGGATGCTTGAACTAAAGCTTATTTGATGAGCTTTAGTTCAAGAGCCACACCCCCCCAGCCATTTTGAAATGTGGGGAGGGGCTTAACACATGACACTGTGATGATGTTAGAGCATTCTAATTAGAATGTGGAGCAGATTTGATTACACTGGAGCACATCTATAGGTAGCCTATATGTTCAACTTTTGGCACTCTCGTTTATTAGCTTATAAATGCTAAAGAAGAAAAATTTGGCAGATTTAGGAAATTTAAACTTAGAAATTGTATACATGGATCTTTTCAGCTTTAATAAAAATGATTTTCTTCTGATGGTAACTGGAGGGTAGCTACAATTAGTGTTTCTTTCTAGTTTAGAATCTGAAGAACCCATAGTTCTGAAGCTGCCCAAATTAAAACCACAAAGGATAATGAGTATGCAGAGAGCACAACAACCACAGATCTGAACAAACAAAACCAGCTCATTCACTAGATGTCATGACCTCATTCCACCACTGACTCTGCCTTAATATATTGCCCAGATTTTCTGGACTTCCTTAAAGAAGTAACACACATTTCTCATCTGAAATATGTGATATGAATAACAATTATGGAGGAGCAAATTGCAATAACTTGGCAGCTCCCAAAAATTCTGACTGGGAGGTGCTGTGGTCTAGATAGGTTGGATTTTAGCTCCAGTCAGATCTCAAGCTATTGTCATCAATGATAAGTACTGCATTTTGCTGAAATAGGAAACACTGGTGCAATCTGACTGTTAATTACAAAGCCAAAAGAGATTGCACATAAAAAAGAAAGTGCAGAGCTATGTGTTGACTTATAATCACAGTTGCACTAGTGAAAGTCATCAATAAAAAAGGAATCCCAAGTAGCTATTAGTAATATCAAGGCTGATCTACTATGGCTCCCAAAAAGTCATTCCTTGACATTGCTCTAACCAAGCCCCTTCACTCTGAACCTCAGTCCCTCTGGCAGAGCAGGAAAGTATGTGCCACAGCCTAGTTGTGGATTCCCAATTTCCCATGCCAAAGGAATAATCAGCTGGCTCATTAAGATAGCTTTATAGTTTCATCATTACCAAACCGTTCTCAGCAGCTGATAATTCTCAGATTCTATTTCAGGAACAGTGAGCACCACAGCACAGCAATGGGATAGCACAGAGTTTCTGCAGAGCTACTCTAGAGCTTCTGATAGCTGAAGTCAAGAAACATTTAGACTGGGATATAAAATACTCTTTGATTATTCAGTGACAGGCAACCACTACATGATACACAGAGCCGATTAATTATTTAGTAGGTTTCTGAAAGATCTCTTGTGGTGTTATCTTTGAACAGATTATGAGTGGAATTGTTTCACTTCCTGCTTCTAAATGATGGTTATCTAGCCATGTAAGGGACATTTCTGCCACTTCTGCTCAGGTTGCAACTCTATTACTTCTTCACTGTCTATACCTAAGTGTGCACACACAGACTTAGCAAATACAACAGACTACTGGATGAGTAGCTATGGGTATGTACAAGTGTTATATTTAGATTGCCCCACCAAACCTGAAAATGGTGCACCCAGTCACTTGCCACAGCTCTAGAGATGTTTTGTTTTACCCCCCTGCTCTGACCTGGACTGGGCTATTTTTACCCCCTTGACTACCTCCCCTTGCAGACCTATCAGCACCCACTGAATGTCCACCAGTCCCTGCTGGATCCGCCAACCCCCTCTGGACCCACCACCACTTCCACAGACCTGCCACCCCCACCCCCATTCTGCCAGCCCTGCTTTCCATCCACCTCCAATTACTTGCCTCTGGATGCCTGTGCCTCCTCCCAGCAAGCAGTAACTGCTTGCCTGCATGAATCCCAACTCAGGTTTAGGTGGCTTAAGCCAAGCCAGGTCCCATAAATGCTTGTTTGCCCTATTTGGCTATGTATGGGTGTGCACCCATTCTGGACACATACCTGGGTCTAAGTAATGAAAATCCAGGTAGCCAGAAACCAATGACCAGCAGGCGTTAGATTACAAAGAAGGGAGAGTAAATCTTCCATGTTTTAGCCCCAGTAGCTGAATGTTTAGGGCACTTGCCAAGCAGACACAGACAGAGGGTGCTTGATCCAGAACCTCTGATGCATTAGCATTGAACTCTAACCACCATGCTGTACATCATACAAAGGCCAGGCTCCTATCCAGACCTCTCCTTGAATCAAGAGGGAGATATGTGGGGCCAGGAGGAAGCAAATAAACTAAAGGGTGTGTCACTGAATGTAATGTGTGGACCTGCTCCAGTGGCAAACAACCAGTCCCTGCTAGTCTAGAGCAGGGGTTTTCAACCGGTGGTACGCATACCCCTATGGGTACTTGGGATGGCCTCAAGGGGTACTCATCAGAGGGTGCTGCCACTGCCACTTCCACCACCGCTGTGCCACCGACACTTCTGCTGCCACACCGTCAGCACTTCCACCACCACCGTGCTGCTGGCATGCTCACTGATCAGCTGTGGGGAACCCACCCCCCTCTTCGGTTGCAGATCAGCCACTGGTGGACCCCCTGCCCAGGCCCCCCCCCCGGCTCATCAACTGGCTGCTGGGGGACTCCTTCCTTCTTGACCAGCCACCAGAGGTACACTGACACAAAAATGTTGAAAACCCCCAGTCTAGAGAACAGGAGTGATCCTTTGCATTAAGCCCTCCTACAAAGGTTCTGTGCAGTATCCAGAATTTTCCCTATGCTAGAGACACTGTTGAGTCAATACGCTACTTAAAATATGGAATTGCTGCAATAGTTAAAATTTCCACAGATATATGTCTATTGATTAAATTACAAGTAAGAGAAACTAAATCTATAAGAAAAAATATGTAAATATTTACTTACTGTTAGATTTTTAACAATTCCTTCAGAATCAACTGTTTAAAAGAAAGGACAATAGAATAAGTTACATCCAAGTTAATGAAGGTTCCAAGATTTGTACAAGAATTTTCAACCTCTTTCTATTTGTAAAAATGAACACCATATAAGCCTACATAAATTAACCAGTTTACACAGGTTACACTGGGATAGGTAACCCAGCTATGTGCATATAAGCTACCAGATCACCAGTTCCAAACACAAACAGATAAACTGCAAAAAGCTGCCATGATGATACCCACTCAAAAGCAAAACTGAAAACATTCAAGGACAAACTCACCACGTATATCCAGTCACACTTTAGAATTCTAGATTTGTCACGGCAGATCTAATTTGGACCTCTGGTTCTTTATGTGCCCTATTCCCTGTTCTGAACATACTGTTTCAGAGAAGGGCAAATCTGAGTCTGTAGTTCATTTGCCAGATTTTAGGAGAAAGACCTTAATCTGGAGTCTTAATTTTGGGTATCACTCACTTTTATTTTTTTTACTGAACCCTCAATTTTTACAGGAGAGAAATGCTTGTAGGGAGAGTAAAAGCCCCAAAAGAAATGGGTCAATGATTATGTAAGTAATTAAAATTAATTACACTGAATATTTGTATTATCAATATTGTATTAAGATACTCTCATTGCAGTTTCATGGATAGAGCGAAGTGAAATTGAAATAAAAAATGTCTGACTTGCTTACAGGTCATCAAAATTAAGCTTCTAAGGGGCCCCAAATGACTCTCTTCCCCAGAGCTCCAACAATACTAAGGCCACCACTGCAGATGGCCCTGTGCAATGGCTCTGACATGGTCAATTCCAGCCTGCAGAACAGCCCAGTAATCCTTGTCTAGCCTGCTCAGCTGGGTGAATTTGACATCCCTGGTCTAAGGGTCTCAATTATAATCAAGACCCACATTGCACTAGGAAATTATATATAAGGACAGTATCTACACTGAAAAGATGACATGCTCAGTAGAGAAGTCATGCTACAGTTGTAACTTCATTATTAGCACTCTTCCCATTTTACAAAAGAGTAATTGAGACACAAAGCTTAAGTGACTTCCCCAAAGTCACGCAAGAAATCTGAATGGAACTGGCAGCTTATCACAAATCTACAGAGTCCAAGTCCAGTACCTTAACCTGTCCTTTCCTGTTATCTTTCTACATGAGATAATAACGCAAATTATAGCAGGCAACCACTGATAGTCTGGATCATGCTGTACACATAAGAGGTCTAGTCTAGGGTTCGGCAACATTGTTGGGCAGAGTGCCAAAAAAACACCCACAACCTCAACTTGTAAGATGTTGGCATGACAGGGGCAGATGGCAGGGGAGCCACAAAGGGTCTGATCCTCTTTGTGGCAGTGCAGCCCCAGTTCCTTCCCCATCATCTGCTCTGAGGCATGCATGCCAAGCAAAATGCCTTTGTGTGCCACACTCTGGGACTGCCTACCCCTGGTCTAGTCAGATGCCTGATGAATGATGAAAGGCAAGTTAGAGTCAAATATTTCTTACCATTTGGTTTTATCTAAGGTTATAGTCAAAGATCATTCTTGCAACACTGCTTCCCTGGACTAATGATATACAGCCCTGGTAGTTTAGGTTCAAAACACTAATTATCTACATTTCATATTTCTTACTATCTACTGTGCTGATTATGCAGTAACAGCACTATTTCACACTTACAAGTAAAGTAGTCCTCTGGAACTCTGTAAGCCCGAATGCGAGCTGCGGGCCCCATATACATGTAGAAATTAATTTTATTTAAATAATCCGTCATGTATTCTAGTTTGTTGCAGAAGGTCTTTTCCATCCCTAAAGGACAATACATAAATATTTATTTTCTTATATTAAACACACTAATGGCTATTTACAAAGATTTATTAAAACTGATGAATGCAAATGTCAGGCACAAGGGAGGCAATAAAAAGGATACAGAGGAACTAACGCTGGAAAACCAATTACAAAAACCATATACATTACCATGATCAGCTAAAACAATGAGGTTTACGCAGTTGTGCAGATTCTGCTGTTTTAATCCTTCCATTAACATTCCTAATGTCTGATCTGCTAACTGCAAGGCTTTAATTACCTAAGGAATAGATAGGATTTCATTAACGTTTCATAGCTATAGCTAAATATATCTATGCACTATGTCATCATACTGCTTTGAAGGATCACTTGTTAACCCCATTAAAAGTTGGATTAAATAGGGCCCGTTAAAATCTTAGTCTTGCCTGGAGTTATCTAGGTTCCACTTTTTGCCAATTTGTTTAACTACATCTTTCCTGCTTACCAGAAAATGCTAGAATCATGCTAGCTTCCCAGACACTAGCAACAGGCTATATAAATTGAAATCATGGTGATGGAGGCCTTCTGTGACCTGAATTCCAGAAGTGAAGAGCAGTTAATGCATGTAATTCACTACAGCATAAAGCAAATTCATATAGATTCAGAGTTTAACCACTTCTTTTGATTTATATAAATTAATGCATACCTTTATTTTAGACCAACTTACTTTAAGGCAAAAAAATACAACTTACTCCAGCACTAACTGGTCCAAACAAGTGTCCAGAAGAATCAGGTTCTTCAATATACAAGGTGTAGAAATCAGGCCTAGAAAACAGACAACAAAGGAACAGTGTGAGAATTTGGGAAAGTTTCTGAAAAAACATCTCTTTATTTTACAAGATTAAAACAGAAACAAAGGGAAAACTCTGGAATATGCAATTTCTAAACCAAGCCAGTCTCAGCACGCAAAACTATACTGTCAGAAGTAGTCTCTGATATTTTTAGTTGGTTTCCAGAAACTCAGGAAACCAACACTGGAAGGCATGCTTGCAAAAATCAGGGTCTCACATAGGGAAAGGAAGTGCTCTTAGTCGGGCTAGGAGCAAAACAGATTTATGTCCTAAAGAGCCACAGTTCTTCATGCTTTACCCGGTGAGGAGGCAGAGAGCTTCCTTTCAACCTGCCATCCATTTATCAAGAATTTACTTCACACAAAAGAATAAAAAACATTTTCTTCATTTATTTATATACAGTGAAAATCCACTTGGAAATTCATTTCTTCAACTGAATAACAAAAAATTCAGCTGGAGTCATATTATTTGATGTAACCATTTGCAAACACAACAGGAATGCAAAGGTGGCGAAACTACTAAACTAGAGTCCAAGAACAGTGCAGGAGATTCATAATAGCTCTGGGCATATGTATAGTACAGGAAGCTAATGCTAATATTTCTCTAACCATGTTATAGCCTACACAAACCCTGTAAGCTTCCAGAGCACTAGATTAAGGTAATATTTTAAGCAATAGGCTGGATTACGCTATATAATTGGTCTTATTTATTCTTTCTTGTGCAAGTTCTTTGATATGAAAATGTCTACAGTCCCAGGAAGGACCTGGGTATCTTCTGATTCAGCAAAAAAAAAAAAAAAAATCTGTAGATAAATAAAAAACAAAACATCCAAAGCTGTGCCTTCCCATTCATATATACATACCTCATAAATATACAAGCAATTTATGTTACCTTTTTATCACTATATGATGAAGGAAATTAAGTATAGCATGATTCAAATAGTCTTTGCAAATGCATGAACATAATAAACTGAAATTTATAAGTGTTAGAAAGCTTCTAACGTGTCTTCTCACAGATTACTTGGATACAGTATTATCAATCATTACCTTTCAGATTTGGGAGAATCAAGCCAATTCAGTATTTGTGAAATTCTCTCTTGATACGTAACAGATCTAAAAATAATTATTAATATTAGATATTGACATCAAGCCTATGCCAAGATAAAGAAAAAGGTAATTCTACCAGTGAAGAAGCTAAACATATATTGAGACATGCTTTGGTCAGCAACAGGCTATAGCCTTGAACCTGGAGTCTCAGCCTGCCTGGCATAGCCACTCATCTCAGTTTGCTACCTCCCTGACTGGCCATCAGGGCAGACACAGATGATCTGATCCAAACCTGATAGCTACCCACCCATTCCCTGCAACTTTAGTGGGCAGCCAGGGTCAACTGGCCCTTTACCCCTTCTTATAAAAATCCCTGCCCCAAAAGAGGCAGTCTCTGGGCAACAAGGCTTAACCTTGTATCTAGGCTGCCTTACCCTTGACTTGTGCTTCTATGGGTCTCTGATGGATTCTCTAGCTACCCAATCTGGCTTGCCTATGGACCCTAAGTCTGTCCTGACCATTTGGCTCCCTAAGCTGACTCCAGTTTGATTTCCTCAACACCTGACCCAGCTGGCCTCCTGACCCCATGTTCTGCCTAACCCTATGGAGCTCTGATTTTGTTCCACAGATAGATCTTATGGTTTCTGACTCCCCTATACTTGGACTCTATGCATGGCCCTCAGACCTTGGTTGCTTCTTCTGACATCAGTGACCCCCAGACCTGGCCACCCATGACAACAACTGAGAGATGGGTAGGAGAAAGCCTGGTGTGCTTATCTTACAGGGCATTTATACACGTCCTCCAGGAGTGGAGGGGAAGTGGGGCATTTTAATTAAAGCGGCTCTGAGCGACACCTATACACAGTTTTCTTTTTAAGTAAATGTTAAAAAAATTGTTATGGTTGTAGCAAGCTGCTAAAGGTTGCTGGGTAATCAAACTCAGTTCGTGGTTCACTAGCTACAGTTAAAAAGGATTGCAAAATGTCATAAAGTTAAATTGATTTGCATTCTTATCTAAGTGTTTGATGCTTTGCTGACACCGAGTTAGGAGAAGATATCTGAATCAGCTAATAAGCATAGCATTTCAAGTTTAGTTCAAGTTCCTTTTGAAACAGATGGAAGAGAAATATATGTTTATTAAATGGAAATAACTATTAACTTTAAGCTTCCAAGAGGTTATTTCTGAGACCTGCTCTAATTAAAGTGCCCAGAGTGTCACAGGTATGTCAGTGGGGGTGCTTTAACTAAAGCTTCTCTCTCCCCCACCTGCTGCTACTGCTTTCTCTTCTGTCCCAGGGCTGAGAAAGCTTCAAATCCACTCCTACTTGCTCCAGCTGGTCTGCATGGGACCTAGGAACAGTGACAGTAGGAGGAGCTGAGATGGGCAGTCAGTGGGTTCCTCCACCCAGCCTAGTCCTATGAGAGTAGGAGAGGAAAGGAGGAACCCCCCTTCCCCACTGGCTCTCCTGCTGTCACTG